CGGCGAGGGTCCAAGCAGCTCGCACGTGTGCTGGACCCACGCAGACCAGGCCAGCAGCAGGGTGGGAGAGACACCCCCGTTCCATGCAGTGCCGCGTCTCCATGCACGTCCAGGTGCCCCACGGCCTTGAGACAGACAGACAGACAGACAGACGGGACCCCCGGTCACCCTGAGAGCTGGGTCAGAGGAAAACGAAGTCAAGGTGTAAGAATGCCCCCGTCTCAGAAGGAGGCGAGGGGCGGGGGCCGTTTCAGGGCACTCAGGGACGAAGACTCTGACCTCAGATGGGGCTGGAGGCAGGGGCTGGAGGTTCCTACGCTCCCTGCTGGTACACAGTCTGTATGTGCGTGCATGTGTGTGTGTGTGTACCTGTGTGTCTGCATATCTCTTCATGTGTGTCTGTGCATAATGTGTGTATATATGTGTCTGTGCATGTGTGTCGGTGCCTGTGTGTGTTTGTGTGTGTGCATAAGTGTGTGCAGGTGTGTGTGTGTGCTGGTACATGTGCATGTCTGTGCATGTGTGTGTCTGTGCATGTGTGTCTGCATGTGTGTGTGCTTGTGGGTTGGTGCATGTGTGCATGTGTGTCTGGGCATGTGCATATCTGTGCATGTGCGTATGAGTGTATGTGTGTGCATGTGTGTCAGGGCCTGTGTGTGTGTGTCTGTGTGTGTGTCTGCGTGTGAGCTGGCCCAGCATCCCTGGTAGCTGCCTGTCCAGCGAGTTCCCCAGAGATGCCCCTGGTGGGAGCCAGGCTGTCCGAGGCTGTGTTCGAGCTGCACTGTGCAGGAGGGGTGGGAGTGGGGTCCCCGCTAGGCTGGACTCTGGCTGGGGCCCGTGTGTGTGTGTGGGGGGGGGGGCGCCCTGCTGCCTCGGGTCCCAGCCAGCCCCTCCCGCCCGCTGAGCCCCTCTGGGGACAGCGCAAAGAAGCAGGAGAAGCGAGTCTCTCTCCACCTCTCTTCCACTCAAGGGGGAAGATGTTGAAACGTTCTTTCTCCTGGTAGAGAATTCGGGGGGTTTATTTATTTTATTTATTTATTTATTTTTCTTTTTGGGTCACACCCGGCGATGCACAGGGGTTACTCCTGGCTCTGCACTCAGAAATCACTCCTGGCGGTGCTCAGGGGACCCTATGGGATGCTGGGAATCGAACCCGGGTCGGCCGCGTGCAAGACAAATGCCCTCCCCGCTGTGCTATCGCTCCAGCCCCTCTGGGGAGTTTAAAGTCTCATTTTACTTCTCACTGCTGCCGTTCCTCCTCCCTTTCCACCCGCCGCTGTGGAGCTGTGGGGCATTCAGGACAGTTGTCCCTCCCGTTCCCAGCCAGCAGGAACTAGTCGTGCGTTCTTGGTACTGAGCAGGTTTTGGTCTGTGGCCGTGGTCGAGGTCCCAGCGCTTGTGAGCGGATCCGTGGCCTCTCTGGTCTGTGAGGACGTTTGCAGCCACCTGGTGGGGGGCCGAGCCGGTGGGGACAGAGGGTCAGGACCTGGGGCTCAGGGTGCAGCCGATGGAGGCAGGAAGGGAAGCGTCCTGGAGGGCATTGCAGGGAGAGCTTGGCTGGGTACACCCTCCCCCGCTGCGCCCCAGCTCCCTGGGGGCCCCCTTGTCATTCCTGGGACTTGCCATAAATAGCCGTGGCCCAGCCTGCCAGGAAAATGCAGATGAAGTTGGTCCTTCCTTCAGGCTCCTCTGCGGTTCACTTTTAATTCACTTTTAATTACTGCGGAAGAAGCCAGGAGGATTGTTTTTATTTGCGTTTATTTCATTTTGTTTTTTAGTGTCTTTGGGTTTCGGGGTCATCCCTGATGGCGTCCAGGGCTTACTCCTGGCTTCGTGCTCGGGGATCATTCCTGGCAGGGCTCAGGGGGCAGCAGGAGGTGTTGGGGATCAAAGTGGGGTCAGCTGTGTGCAAGGCAAACTTGGAGAGTCGCGCCGGCCCCTGGGGATGATTCTAGGACAAGCGGCTGCCTTCTTCCTGCCCCAGACATGTCCAAGTGCAGAGGCCACGGTTAAGGAATTTCACTTAATCTTGATCATCTAGGGAGCTGACTGCATTTTTTTTTTTTTTAAAGAATTCTTTCCAGGGAACCGGAGCGATAGTACAGTGGGAAGGGCACTTGCCTTGCGTGCAGCCAGCCCGGGTTTGATCTCCAGCACGCCGTAGAGTCCCCTGAGACCTGTCAGAAGGGGGTCTTGGGAGCAGAGCCAGGGGTAAGCCCTGAACACCACTGGGTGTGGTTCTTGCCCACCCCTGCAAAGAAAGAATTCTCCTCAACCTTTGGAAAGTTTGTCAGCCTGGTCAGACACTTCGGGACTACTCTGGTAGAGATGGTGGAGAGGGTGGAGAAGATGGTGGAAGATGGTGGAAAGGATGAGGGATGAGGGAGAAGAAGGTGGTGGAAGGGATGAGAGATGGCGGAGGTGTTGGTTCTGGGGGCTCACGCAGGCCTGGCCTTTCTCCCTGAGTCCTGACCGCACCCCTGCTTTGACTTCCCTTGTGATTGGCCTCGGGACTGAGAGTTTCAGTCAGAGGCGGTCTCCGAGCCCAAGTTTGGCGTAAAGAAATAATTTGCGCCCACACAGAGGGGCACGGAAACCTCAGCGTCCACAGGCTCATGGCCTTGGTCTGCTGAAACGCGGGTCACTGGCCTCAACTCCACTGGCCTCGGCCAGACCACTGTGTGTGGAGGAGGGGGGTTGGTGGGAGCGCAGTCTGGCAGGCATAGGTCCAGGGCTGAACCTGACTCCGCAGGGCCGAGTAGCCCCGCACTGTCGGACCCAGACCCGCCGCCCTGGCACCAGAAGTGGCCTCAGGGATCCCTGGCCAAGCCAGAGAGGAGACCGGAGGTGCAGGAGGACTTAGCTTTTTTTTGGGGGGGGGGGGTCACACCCGGCGATGCTCAGGGGTTTTTCTGGCTCTGCACTCAGGAATTATTCCTGGCGGTGCTCGGGGGACCCTATGGGATGCTGGGGATCGAACCTAGGTCGGCTGCATGCAAGGCAAACGCCCTCCCTGCTGGCCTATCGCTCCGGCCCCAGGAGGGCTCAGCCTTGCTTCCTGAGAAGCTGCCCTTGACCACAGGCTGGGGACTCAGCCCTGGGCTTGTGGAGGCGGCTGCCGCCCCGTGGACTCTCACTGCCGTGCAGGGACCAGCAGCTGCCGCTGGCAGGACTCCACGTGGGCCCCGTGGTGAGGGAGGTGGCTGGACTCCATTTCTGGAAGCTTGGATGAGGCGGGGCCTCAGCTGAGGGCTTTGAGGGCTCAGGTGTGTGACCAAGTCGGCCTTAGGTTGCTGTAGTCTGACCCGGGCCCCAAGAGCTTGGCCCCGGATCTCCCTGGGTTTCTGCTCATTCTTCTGAGCAGGGCTAGTCCAGGGGCTGGAGAGATGGTACCCTGGGGCGGGCACTGGCCTCGCACATGGCCAGCCTGGGTTTGACCTCTGACATCCCATGGGGTCCCCTGCGCACCATCAGGAGTGAGTCCTGAGTCACTGCAGGGACAGGAGCAAGCCCTGAGCGTTACAGAGTGTGGCCCCCAAACAAAACAGCAAGAGAAGCAGGACGAGCCATTGGTTCTGGGTGAGGCCTCAGGGCTGGTTCACTGGATTCCAGTTCCAGCTCTTTGCTGCCCGTTTGTGTGACCTTTGACCAGCGCGAGGGTGGGAGTGTGCACCTGGCAGACACGCGTCTCTTCCGTAGTAAAATGGGCAGAGCCGAACACCTACTTCAGACGCTTGCTGGGGTTAAAATTGGTCGACCTGTTTGACAACAGGGCTGGTCTCCCAGGGAGCCGCAAGGAAGTATTAGCTATTTTCATCACCCCCCGCCCCATCTTCGCCACCATCAACATTTTTCAACCTTGAATGGGGAGAAGGGACCAGCAGACGGTTCTGTGGTTGGGTCCATGTGCCCCTGTGTTCACATTAGCGTGCATCCCGTCTGGGTTCTTCCTTCCTTCCTTCCTTCTTTCTTTCCATCCTTCCTTCTTTCTTTCCATCCTTCCTTCCTTTCTTCCCTCCCTCCCTCCCTCCCTCCCTCCCTCCCTCCCTTCCTCTCCTTCCTTCCTTCCTTCCTTCCTTCCTTCCTTCCTTCCTTCCTTCCTTTCTCTCCTTCCTTCCTTCCTTCCTTCCTTCCTTCCTTCCTTCCTTCCTTCCTTCCCTCCCTCCCTCCCTCCCTCCCTTCCTCTCCTTCCTTCCTTCCTTCCTTCCTTCCTTCCTTCCTTCCTTCCTCCCTCCCTCCCTCCTTCCTTCCATCTTTCCTTCTTTTCTTTCCTTTCTTTCTTGAATCACTGTGAGATACAGTTACAGGCTTTCATGTTTGTGTCTCAGTCACACAATGATCGAACACCCATCCCTCCACCAGTGCACATTCCCCACCACCAATGTCCCCAACATCTCCGCCTTCCCATCCCAACCCTCCCCCCTGCCTCCCTGGCGGACAACTTCCCCCATTCTCTCTCTCTCTCTCTCTCTCTCTCTCTCTCTCTCTCTCTCTCTCTCCCTCTCTGCTCTGGGCATGGTGGTTTGCAATACAGATACTGAGAGGCGATCACGTTTGGTCCTTCATCTACTTTCAGCACACATCTCCCATCCCGAACGATTCCTCCAACCATCACGGACTTAGTGATCCCTTCTCTATCCCAGCCGCCTTCTCCCCCAGCTCATGAGTCCAGCCTGGGTTTTTTCCTGGCACCACGTGGTCCCCAAGCCTCACTGGGTGTAGCCCTGGGGGCTTCTGAGCACTGCTGGGTGTGGTCCTGGGGGACCCCAGCACTGTGGGGCCGAAGTAGCTCCACATCCTGAGCCCCTCATGGGGAGCCCCTCTTGGACTTCTCGAACCCCCTTCCATGGCCCCACATCAAACATTAATTGAGGGGCGCATCCCCGTGCCTTTGAACGTTCCTTTGCGGGAGCCTTGCTGATGGCCGCGTGACCCTGGGGGGGGGGCGTCCGGCGAGATCTGCGGGTGCTTCACCGCGTGTCTCTCTTGTCTCCCTGCAGCCAGCTGTGTTCCCCCGTGCCTGAACGGAGGGATGTGCCTGCGGCCTCAGCTGTGCGTGTGCAAACCAGGCACCCGGGGCAAAGCCTGTGAGCTGACCACGGCCCGCGAGCCCGCACCCACAGTGCTCAGAACCCGGAGTGCCGGGCGCCCTGCCTCACCACGGAAGCCTCCGGAGCCGGCGGCCCAGCTGACTTCCTCGGAGAAGGCGGACGCTGTGCCCAGAGCCAGCCCCGTGGCCCAGATGACCCTGACGCTCAAGCCGAAGCCGCCGTCCGTCAGCCTGTCCCCACAGCCACGCGCTCAGTGAGTGTCCCGATCTCTCTTGGGCCCTTTGCAGTTACTCACTCCCCTTCCCTGCAGTTTGCAGAGACCAGTCTGTTGGTCTGTGGCGTGAGCCGGCGCGTGACTGTGTCGCTCCGTGAACCTCTTAAGAGCGTGTCGTTGTCTGAGTTGGTCCTCTGCTAGCGGGACTTAGCCAAAGCGTCCGCCCGAGCCAGAGGGAGGCCTGCTGGGAGCCAGCGTGTGTGTGTGTGTGTGTGTGTGTGTGTATGTGTGTGTGTGTGTGTAGGTGGGGGGAACGGCCTGGAAGTAGTGTCACTGGGGCAGGGACTGTGGAGGTGTGACTGTGGGGATGTGGGTCAAAAAAAAATTTTTTTTTTTTTATAAAGGGCCAGAGATGCATATGCAGATGGCAGGCTCGGGTTCGACCCCAGGCATCACACAGTGCCTTCCAGCTCCTTCGGGAGGGAGCACGGAGCATCCCCATGGGGCCCAAGCAAGCAAACTCTCAAATCAAAATGCTCTGTGGGCGGCGGCTGGGGTCAGGAGACAGAACGGGGCTTACGGCGCTTGCCTTGTGCCCGGCTGTCCCGGGTTCAATCCCCGGCTCCCCGTCTGGATTCCCGAGCCCCACCTGGAGTGGTCCCTGAACACAGAGCCAGGAGTAAGCACTGGGGACCCCTGGGTGTGGCCCCCAAACCAAAGCAAACAGGAGAAGAAGGAGCTGGACAAGGTGGCCCCTGAGCCCTACAGAGAATGCGCAGAAGAGAGAGGGGGTTTGGGGTGCCGTGGAGGGCTTGCGAACTCCCTTCCTCCTCGCTGTCCCCGAGGCACCCGCAGGGCTGCTGGCCGTGAGCTCTCGCTCGCTCGTGGGCAGGAACTTAGTTTTCTTCGCCCTTTTCTGACCAGCGAAGGCCTCGGGGCGAGTCGTGTCTGTGCCCCCAGGCCTCCGAAGCCCCAGGCTCCTTCGCAGAGGGGGACTGGGTGGGACGATGCCCCCGAGAGTGTCGGGGGTGGTCCCGGGAAGGACGCTGGGGGTCTCTCTGTACACTGACAGCCGCTCATGAGGGTCCGCCGTGGGACTTTCTCTGCCCCCCCCCACCGTGGTCAGGCTCAGCTGACCTCCAGAGGCGGTCTGGGGGTTCTTGTAGAAGAAGTGACCTCACTGCCCAGCCCTGTAACCAAGGCCCTCTCAGTCCCCGCTGGGCGGGCCCTAGCCGCCTTTCTCTTCCCTCGTCCCTCCCTCTGCCCCCCTCTGCTGCTTTCCTCATGGTCCCTGTCACTTCTTGTCTCCATTCCCCTGACAGACATCCAGACCGGGGGTAGGAGGGCCTGAGCCACGTCGCCAGTATTTCATTTGCAGAGCCAATGTCTGGGGGTCGCCGTGAAGGAAGGCTGTCATCTCCCCCGTCAGGCAGGTTCCCCCCATGCCCTGAGGAGGGAACCAAGCCCAGAGCGGCCAAGGGAAGGATGAGGTGCTGTGATAGGAATTAGGTGGGAACAGGAGGCCTCTGTGCCCTCAAGCTGGCAGGACAGCTGGGCTTTTATCTGTAGGACAGGACCAGAACTCCTTTGCCTGGGGGGTGCCGGTTTGGTTGTGGCTGGCCCTGGCCTGCTGTGTGGACGAGAAAGCATCCGGGATAACCCCGGAGCACGGGTGGGGATGGTCTCCTGGAGCTTGAGTCAGCAACGCTGGCATCTGCAGACATCCGTTTCAGCTACGATGCCCGCATCGCCCGTCAGGATTCTTCCTCCATCTGTCTCGGCCGTTGCGAGTGTGAAGAGTGACCTTAGCCCATGGGCCGGGCCCTGGGGTCCTGGGGCTGCTGGTGCTGCCAGGCCGAGCACAAGGATCCCATATAACCTGGGAGGCATGCGAGGCCGGGACCCCTGGCCCCCAGCTGAGCTGGGCAGCCCTGCTCCACGCGGCTCTGGGTCTCGGTAATGACGTGGATCTCTGCTCTGGGGTGCGGCCAGGACTCTGGGTGCCCTCTCTGGTCCTCCCCGCATCATCGCTCAGGGGACCGGGAGATCACTCACAGCTTGGGGTTGTGTGTTTGTGGGTTTGTTTTTGTGCCACACCCAGGGCTGCTGTGGGGGGGTGACCCCTGGGCCAGTGAGAGGGAGTGGCTCCCAGCGGTGCCAGGGGTCAAACCCAGGGCTCCCGTGTGCGAATAATGTTCTCAAATGCTCCGGGCCATGTCCTGGGTCCCGTGTGATGTGTTTTACCCCTGAGTAAGGTTCTTGAGTCCCACCGGCCACTGGGAGCTCCAGGGCCCATGCTTGGGTGGGGGGTCGACCAGATGGCCCTTGTCAGAGAGCGTCTCTGCCTTTTTCTTTTCTGTCCTTTTGTGTAATTTAAGAATATCATGAGTCAGTGGGGAAGCTGACGTTTCAGCCCTGACTGGACTTGGGGAAAAGAATCATCTGATCACTGATCATATGCTTCAGAGGTGAGGTCCACTGGAGGGGCTTTTCTACGTGGCTTTGTCCTGGGAGGCTCTCTGAGGGCGGGTGTGCCTGTGGGCTTTGGGGTATTCTTGCCCTGAAATGCTCTCACTTCTGGTATTTTCTGTGTAAACTTTATAGGCCTGCCTGTTTTCTGGGCCCTGCAGGGGGTGTTACACTAGATTAGACCTAAGCTTGTACTCGGTGGATTTTAAAGATGGAGGGTCCCGCCTGGGGAGGGAATGAGGGTGGTCTCCTTTGTCCCCCTGATGGGTTTGAGGATTTGACCACTCGAAGCATGACGGTCACATGTAGCCTGTGGCCTTGTGCTGCTCTCTGTGGGGACCCCACGTTAGCAGAACCAGTGCCTGGTGATGCCTGGACTGTGGGTGCTGTGTTTGTCCCTGGACATATCTGGGCAGGGTGGGACATGTGGTCATTGGAAGGACTTTTTAAAAAAAATTTTTATTAGTGAAACACCATGAGGTACAGTTGTCTGTCTGACCTCCTGTTGTTCATCGATTTGCTCAAGCGGGCCCAGTAACGTCTCCAGTTGTAGACTTACAAACTTTTGTGCTTGGGTTTCTGTTATACAATGATCAAATACCCATCCCTCCACCAGTGCCCATTCTCGACCACCACAAATCCCAGTATCCCTCCCACCCCCCATCCCTCCATCCCACCCTGCCTCTGTGGTGGGGCATTCCCTTTTGTTCTCTCTCTCCTTTTGGGTGCTGTGTTTGCAAAAGAGGCAATGGGTGACAATCATGTTCAGTCTATAGTCTACTTTCAGCATGCTTCTCCTATCCTGGGTGGATCTTCCCAACACCCTTCATTTGGTGCTCCCTTCTCTATCTGATCTGCCTTCTCCCTTAGCATGTGCAGCTGGCCTTCAAGCCATGGAGTGAACCTCCTGGTACTGATCTTGGCCACTCTTGGGTGTTAGTCTCCTAGTTTGTTACTTTATGTTCCCATTGGAAGGACTTTTGGGTCATGCCTGGAGCCTCTGGGGTAACTGTGGGGCTGGGGTCCCGGGGGAGTGGGGCGGGTGTCACTGGGCTGACCTGGAAGGTTCTGCCAAGAAGGTGATTGGCAGAGACCTGCGGGAGGTGGGGAAGTGCTGGAGGAGAAGATGCCAGCCTCCCACCCCCACCCCTTAGGCTGCCCGAGCAGCCTCGCGTTCTTGGACCCTCACTCTGCACTACTGACCCAATCGCTGCCCCCTCAACGTGAAGTGACCAAATGGTGCTGCCTCTTCCTGTGTCCACATGTGGCCGGCCACTTTTCTGAGCCTCTGAACCCAGACTGCGGATTCCCTCGCGAATCCAGAATAGCCGCAGACTCTGCTCACTGTCCCGTGGTCCATAAGCATCAGCCGGTTCTGTGAAGCAGCCGCATCCATGGTGCTTCCCGGGATCTTTAATTTCTGGCCAGAAAAGGTGCCTGGAGGCAAGCATCTGCCTGGGTGTTCCACGAGGAAGCGGAAGTCAGCGCCGGAGAGAAAAGTCTCAAGTTCCGAAGAGCCTTGTCTCTCCCCATCCCTGTCGCTCTCGGCCTCTCCCTGCCCGGGGTCACCCACACTGGCCGCCCTGGGGGAGGGCGGAGGCGCAGGCGTCCTTCCCACCCCCAGGATGCAGTTCTCCATGCTCTCCTGGGATGCAGTTCTCAACGGTCTTGTTCCGCTGTCCCTGAGCCGGGCAGCCAGGGCGGATGTTGAGAGCGTGCTTGGTCTCTCACTGACGCCCTGAGGTTTCCCGGGATGGAGCAGGATGATAGTCACCGAGCCAAACTGGGAGCTGCTATCGGGCTGTGGCAGGACCCAGGTCCGGCTCGGAGCTGTAGGAGGAAATCGGGTCCTGCTGCAGCATCCACGTGGCCTCTGTCTACGCCGTCACAGGCTTCCTTCCCCAGGAAGGCTTATTTCCACCACGGATCGGAACTTGGGTTGTGATGGAGAGCGGTGAGTTTCTCCAGGAACTCAAAATGAGTGCTCTCTAGTCTCCAAACACAGCGAGGTGATGGCCAGGGAATAGTGCGGGCTCTGGAGAAGAGAGATCCATCGAAAACGGTCCCTTTCCTTTCTTCTCGAAGTTGGGCCTCCCAGCCAGGCTGCAGGAGGTCCCGGGTGGTTCTCGGCCGGCTGGGGCCCAAGAACGCGGCGCTGCCTGGGCCAGCAGTGCTCGGGATGAGCAGGCCTACCCTTAGTGAGGAGGTGCTGGGTGGAGCCCGGGTCAGGCGTGTGCTAAGCACGTGGCCTAATCACTGGACTCTCCCAACTTGCAGGAATAGTCTCGGTGTTGGATGCTGCCAGCATCACACTGAGCGTGATGAAGTTCCGGAGGAACGAGCATCCCCCACCCCCACGGTCTGTGGAAGCATCTCGGGGTGTGTCTGGGGCAGGGAGGAGGGGGTGGGCTTGTCCCCACTCGCCCTGTCTGAGCTTCCTGTCCCTGGTCTGGGCGACGGAAACTGTAGGTTGTGAGGTGACGCAGATGGGGACTTCGTTGCTGTTGGCTGGTTTGAGGGCTGCACCCGGCGGTGCGCAGGGCTGACTCCTGGCTCTGCACTCAGGGGTC